AACATGTGGTGCTGGGAATCGAACCCAGGTCCTCTGCAAAAGCAGTCAGTGCTCTTAACCACTGAGCCATCTCTCCAGCCCCTAAAAAGTAATATTTTAAAAGAAGTTTGTGTTCCTCTGGTGATATCTTTGAGGATGGCAGTTGCAAGAGTATGGCTCACGGTGCCTGAGTGGTTCTGGAAGATGACTGCTTATCTCTGAGGTATTCGCAGGAGCCCAGGAGAAGATAAATAAATATCAGTACATATTTTGAGTCAGACCCTCTCAAAATATCCTCTCAGACTTGGCCAAAGTACACCAATTTCCTTTTTTCCACTTGATGCAGTTGTGAACAATCTTATTTATATAAAGTACAAAACATAAATTTTAAAGGAAAATAGCATATACTAAATGTAGCAAGCAAATAAAATGGTAAGGAATCCCCTAACACATTGACTTTAATATAATTTATCGTATTACTCTATCATAATATAATTTAAATACAGAATATTAAGGAAGGCAACTTCCCTTTTTGCTTTTTAAGAAATTATCAATTTTATCTATTTTGATTTATCTGTATCTGTGCTCCCAAGCACACACACAACCTTCGGGTGTGGGTCCTTGCCTTCCCACCTTTTTGCAACACGATGTTTTTGCCACTGTGTAAACCAGGTGAACTGCTCAAGAGCTTGTGAAGATTCTCCTGTCTCTGATTCCCATCTCCTATTCGGGGCTGAAATGACAGACATTTGCACCTCTATGTGCAGCTTTTACCTGGGTTCCAGGATCTGAACTCAGGTCATCAGGCTTACATGTGAGAACTTTTACCCACTGAGCCGTCTCCCCACAGTGTCCCATTTTCTATATCATGATTATGAAATATTAGAATGAGCATGAATATAGTTAATTAGCCCAACTTTTTTTTTTTTTGTCTTTTTGAGACAGGGCCTTCCTATAGCTGCAGCTGGCCTAGAACTCACTATGTATGTAGACCAGACTGACCTTAAATTCACCTGCCTTTGCCTTCTGAGTGCTAGGATTAAAGGCATGTGCCACCATACCTGGTCTTAGTAGATGATTCTTAAAAAAAAAAAAATGGGTATATGTCACTTTCTGTAAGCAGTCATGCAACTAATATGTGTATGAACTTGAACCGGAACATTTATTAACCAGAAAGCAGTGTGTATATAGTCTTACCACCAGCTAAGTAATTAAATATAATGCACATACTTGTAATCCCAGCCCTTAAAAGACAGAGGCAGGTGGGTTGTTAGTTTGAGGCCAGCCTGGGCTACAGTGTGAGCTCAAGCTTGGGCTATATCTGAAAGCCCATCTCAAAACAAAACAAAAGCCCACATGTAAAAAGTGATACTGTCAATTTCCATATACTTTTCATCCAGCTTTCCCAGTGTTAGCATCCTGTGTTACCATTGTATGTAGCTAAAACAGGACATTGGCATTGGGGTAGTAGTGTCAGCAAAATTATAGGCCTTAACAGCAGATTATGCATGCAATGTGCAATCTTTTAAAAAGTATTTTGGGCTGCACGCCTTTAGTCCCAGCATTCAGATCTCTATGAGTTAAAGGCCAGCCTGGTCTACATAAGGGAGTTCTAGGTCAACTGGTGCTACGGAGAGATCATGTCTCAAAAAGGCCCTCCTCCCCAAAAAAGTATTTTGACCAGTTAATATTTTTATTAGAATACATATTGGGTATGGTGGTACATGACTTTAGTCCCACCATCAGGAAGCAGAAGCTGATGAATTTCTGTGAGTTCAAGGCCATCTTTATCTACATACCCAGGCCAGCCAGGGCTACATAGTAAGACCCTGTCTCATAAAAAAAAACAGAAACAAACAAACCAAAAAACCTGAGCAAATTCTTAACTCTCCTTGTTCCCATCTTAAAGTTCATAAAATTCATTTTTATAATACTGGTATGCAATAGAACATCTGTAGACTGTTTCACTTAACCGAGGGTAAATACTTTTGGCATTGCATATTTTAGTAAGATTTGGATTGAAATGAAGGTTATATATCATCATATCTTTTCTTATCCTATTATTTGTTACTATAGAGAACTGGGTTTTGGGAGTTCTGTGGAAGTCCAAGGGCAGCTGGTCAAAAGTCAAGCCAAAAAGCAAAATGTGGAACTGAAGGCAGAAAAAATTGAGGTTATTGGAAACTGTGAAACCAAGGTATGTTTCCTGACACTGGGGGGCTGTTCAAGTTGAGAATGCGAACAATCTGTTTAAGGGTGTTTGAGAAGATGATATTTAGAGCATGTTCCAGTTGTGACTGCCCTGATTGTTCAAACAGACCAAAGGGCGAGAGGGACAGTAGCAGATTATCATATTGATGACTTAATCTTACAGGAGCTAAATACTAATCTGTGTGTCTCTGTAGTTACTGTTGCTTCTGAAGTTTTTATTCTAGCCATTCAGCTTCTTGTTTTTGCTGTAATTGACTTCAAATATTTATGAGCAAAATTATTGCCCCTTGATTTCTTTTGGTTTTGATACTTCTAGTGTTATTTATTTTATTTTTACTTATGCATATGTATGTGTCCATGTATCTGCCACATGTGTGTGGGTGCTCAAGAAGAGCACAAGAGGGCCTCAGATCCCCTGGGGCTGGAGTTACAGGCAGTTGTGAGTCGCCCCATGTAAGTGCTGGGAATTGAACTTGGGGTATTCTGTAAGAGCAGTAAGCACTCTTAACCACTGAATTATTGCTCCATTCCTATTTATTTATTTTAAACTTTTCTTTTTCTTCTTGGTTTTTTGAGACAGGGTTTCCATGTAGCCCCAGCTGGCCTTGAACTCACAAGGATCTGCCTGCCTCTGCCTCCCAAATGCTGGGATTAAGGAGTGTGCCACCATGCCTGGCTTGCCTTCTTAATTTTGTAACCTGCATGTGGGCAGGTTTGAAATAGTTAGAGCCATAATTCCCATAATTTTTTTTTTTCAAATCTTCAGTACTATGCCAAACAAAAGAAAGCTGTACTAGTCTCTTGCTCATGTTAGACAGCAGTGATAATCTGATAAACAATAAGCAACCCCAGTTGATGGCTTGTGGGCTTTCAAGACATTTGGGTGAAATTAAAGTTGAGTGCCAGCTGTGTTTGTGTGATGGTAGGAAACCTTTAATGGCTATAACATCCTGAATTCTTGTATGCCAAAATGGGTTTTTTTTTTTGTCTTTTTGTCTTTTTGAGACAGGGTCTCCCTGTAGCCCCAACTTTCCTGGAACTTACTATGTAGACCAGGCTGGCCTCAAACTCACAAAGATCCTCCTGCCTCTGCCTCCCAAGTGCTGGGATTAAAGGCATATACCACCATGCCTGGCTCTAAAATGGATTATTTTTAATAATTGCATGTTAACCTCTCTAGTTGTAAGAAATTAATAGCTAATGGATATAAGCTTGATAGATAATAGGTGAACCCCTGTGATATTAAGTAATTTAGCTACTAAGTACTGTTGCTGGTTTTAAGCCCACATATCCTTGACTCTACCCCACCATTCTGTTTACTTGATGGGAGTAATGTAGACCATAATCTGTTATATTAAGAAATAAGGGACCAGAGAGATCCCTCTGTGGATAAAGGCACTTGCTACCAGGCTTGACAACCTGAATTCAGTCTCCAGGACCCACATGATGGAAAGAAAGACTCCCAGAAGTTGTCCTCTGGCCACATACTCAACAATGTAGTGAGCTTGCATACACATACACACAAATAATAAATAAATGTAATTAAAAATTTTAAAAGAAGCTGGAGAGATGACTCAGTGGTTAGGAGCACTGGCTGTTCTTGCAGAGGACCCAGGTTTGGTTTCCAGCACCCACATGGCGGCTAACAACCATCTGTAACTCCAGTTCCGGGAATCCAATGCCCTCTTCTGACCTCAGGCCCTCCAATGCCCTCTTCTGACCTCAGCCACAGTGTGGCTATACTTGCATACATGCAGGCGGTAGGTACACTCATACACATAAAATAAAATAAAAATAATACAAGATTTTTAAAAAATTAAAATGAAGGAAATATCTTAGTTTAATTCTAAAGTACTGCTATTTTAAGAAATACTCTGGATACTGGTAAAGTGGGATATATTTAGGGGGGTTTGTTACAGTTTTTTAACTTCTAATCTCTCCTCCTCCCCCATCTATTGGCAGGTATTCCCAATCAAATATAAGGAGAGGCATCCTTTGGAGTTCCTGAGGCAGTACCCTCACTTGAGGTGTAGGACGAATGCTTTGGGCTCTATTTTGAGGGTCCGCAGTGAAGCCACAGCTGCTATTCATTCGTACTTTAAGGTAAGGTGCTCTGCTGGCACATGTTCTTTCTTGTGCAGAGTATGAATAATTGTTACCCTGGAGTATTTTCCTGAACATTCTTTCAGTTGTTTCTTCCAAGCACCCTTTGTTTCATAAAGAATTAGATGCCACAGGCATGCAAATCCATTTTCCTTTTCCATTTTTTCTTTCCATGTATGTAGTTTAATAGCATTATTGAAGACTCACTGACATGAAAATACCATACACATCTAAAGTGTACAATCTGATGAAGTTTGACATGAATATTTCCCACCATCACCACAATGAAGATAGTGAATAGATTTAGAGTCCTGAAAGTTTGTATCTCTGTACTGTCTCTTTGCCATTATTTTTGAATACTTCTTGTGAATATAGAATTGTAGGTTGATGGACTTTTTTCTTTTTCTTTTCTTTTTTTCTTTTTTTGAGACATGGACTTGTTAAATAGGTAAGGCTTCTCTTAATTCACATGTACCCAAGTTGGCCTCAAACTTGAGATCCTCCTGCTCCAGACTCCTGAGTCCTGAGGTTACAGACAGGAGCTCAAATACTTGAAAGTTGTCACTATGTCTTCTCATTTATATTGCTTTCTGGGAGACATTTGATGTCAAGACTGGGAAGATGGCTCAGTGGTTTATGTTTTTTTGTTTAAAAAAATTTTTTTTTTAATTTTACATTTATGAGTGTATTGGCTGCTTATATGTAAGTACACCGATGTTATATAGTGCTCACGAGGGTGAGAAGAGGGTATTGGATTCCCCTGGAACTGGAGTTACGGGTGGTTGTTAGCCTCCATGTGGATGCTAGGAACTAAACCGGGGACCTCTGCAGGAGCAGTCAGTGCTCTTAACCGCTGAGCCATCTTTCTAGCCCTGTTTGGGGGGGGGGGGTTCTTTGTTGTTGTTGTTTTTTCATTGTTGTTTGTTTGTTTCAAACAAAGTCTTGCTATGTTGCTCTGACTTTCCTGGAGCTTTGATCCTCCTAATTCAGTCTCCATATTATCTGGGATTATAGGCCTATGTCACTGTGCCCAGCTCCAGAAAGTTTTTTAAGCCATCATTTCTTTAGATCTTTTTTGTTGATTCTAAAATTATCCTCATACTAGGCCACTTAGTGACATCCCATAGCCCACTGAACCCAAGGCCTCAAGCATGCTAGGCAAGTGCTCTCATGGGCAAAGCTATATCCTTTTCCCTTTTGTTTTGAAACGGGGTCTCACTAAGTTACCTAGGGTGGCCTTGAACCTATGATCCTCCTGCCTTAGCCTCCTAGGTAGCTGGAATTAAAGGCTTCTACCACACCCAGCTGAGACTAAGTTTTGTTTTTTGTTTTTATCTTTCATGTCTATTTAACTTATCAAACGTAAGGAATACAGTTTTAATTTTAAAACTGTTATGTCCTTATGTTTTTCTAATGCCTAATATGTTTGTCAGTTATGACTCAGTCTTGACCAATTAGTTTCTATGTGGGTTATGTTTTTGTGCCTCATTGCCTGCCTGCTGATCTTTGATCAGATGCCAGATGCTGTGAATTTTACCTTGTAGGTACAGGATATTTTTAAAAGTTTCTCAAGCTTTGTTCAGGTATACAGTTAATTCACTTGAAAAGTGTTTGATCTTTTGGGTCTTCTACTTTTGTTTATTAGGTCTGGAACAGTGCTTGGTTAGAACTCGTTATTCCTCATGACTGGGAACATCCAGCCAACGTGAATACAGAACCTGTTTAAACACCTCTAATCACTTTAGATTTTTCTTTCCTTTCCTTGAATAGTTTCTTCCTTGAATTACTGATTAGTTCTTTACTTGATACTCCTGCGTGATACCAGAGATCTCTCTTTTCTCCTGTCTAATATTCTGACCTGTGAACTCTAGCCACTTTGGTCTCTCCAGACTCTGGGCTGTTTCTCCTCAGCTCAGGGAGTCTGCTCAGCCCCACCATACTTCCTCCCTGTGCTATATCAAGGAGAACCTCACTGTAATAAGTATGGAGGCTGGTAGGGCCCACCATAACTCACAGCTCACTGCCTCTTGTTTCTGATGTCTTAAAAGTCAGGGTTTCATTTGGCTTGCTTTCTGTTTTGATTGTTTTTGTTTTGTGCTTGCTCAGATAAGAGGGCATATCCAGTCCCCGTTTCTCTATCTTGGGCATCTGTTTGTTTCCTTTCATCTCACTGGGGGAGGGGCACCAGGGACTAGGGGTGAGCCTGTTTTTCCCATGGCACCTCCTCAGACTCTGCTATGTGTACTATGTAGTCCTCTCCGGGATGCATCTAAATTCATGCAGTCTCAGTCCTGTTATGGCTCACCAGGAGACTTCATTCTTTTTGGAAAAGTCCGAGTCCATTTCTGCTAAAACTCCCAAAGTACATCATAGCTTTAAGGCGTGTACTTCTGATCAAACAAAGGAAAAATAAGTTGTACTAGCAGTTTTATCCTGTTATAGTTTGGAAGGGTCTTTTTACACATGCTCTTAAAAAATTTCTTGCAACTTCTGTATGGCTTTTCAGCAGTACTTGAACTACACAGACATAAAAATCTGTTTAGATCTAAAAATAATATTTTTTTCCCCTCATGACTTCAACAACTGATGAAGTACACGTGGAAAATTGAAATAGTTTTACAGATTTTTGGCCACTAGATGGTGGCATTGGCAAGCCATTGACAAGTCAACTTTACCAACTTTTGTATGTTTATTATTTCAAGCTTTTACAAGTCTGTAAACAATTTTAAAATGGAATAAACTAGAAAAGTCAGAAATAAAATGAAATTAAAAATCTGAAATATTTATGTGGTTGAAAATAATGAGTTTCTGCATTGTTGTTAATAAAGTAGTTATGAATGCTATAAATTCAGTTTTTAATAATCAAGCCTTGAAAATTATAATCCTGATGCCTCATTCTATGATATCTGTTTGTGTACATGACAATTAGGATTATATGTTAAAGAAGTCACCATAACTGGGTGTGAGGTATCACATACCTGTAATCCCAACATTCAGGAGACTGAGGCAGGAGAATTACCAAGAATTATGGTTAGTGAGTGCCATGTGAGCCAGGTCTACATAGTAAGATTCTTATCTCAAAACCTAATGAAATGAAAAGGTCACTGTAGTACTTACTCCAGGGCATATTAAATAGTGGCTGTTTATTACCTGGTATTTAATACTGTGTCTTTGATTTGTAGCTGTCATCCCTAGAAGGTAATAAATTTTAAAGTAAAATTTTCATAAATGTTAAACTCATTAATAAATTTAGAAATGTGGAAAAGACTAGGAACCTAAACAATACTTTAAGTAAGGAACTTTTAACAGTCTAGAATTTTTTTGGTTTTACTATCAAAACTATTTTTTGTAGGGGCTGGGGCATATATAGCTGAATTGGTAGAATGCTCACCTAGTATGCACTCACACAGTATTGTTCATAAATTGATTGCCTTGCTGAATACTAAAACTTGGCTATCTAGAAAAGCCAAGTTCCTCAAATGACTGAAGACTTTTCTAGTCGCAGTTTTCTCTGGATTAATCTAAGATGGAACGCATGGTTCCTTGTCTTCCTCAAGTGTGACAGTAGAAAAGACCGCTGAGAATGGAGGTTCCTCCTCTGAGTGTCAGTGTTGTCCGCTGACAGTGCCTGGAAGCCTGCCGTGGGCTGCAGACGTCTTTACCCCTGTGTGGAATGGCCCCAGACTGCTGGCGTTTTCCTACTGTAAAAAGCAGTGTGTGCAGGTTTCTTGTCTCCTCTTGCTGTCACCTGTTGTTGCCAGCGGTGTGCTGATGTCCAGCAGTGCTCACACATTTCTCTTTTTATTGATGCTGGTTAAATAACGACAGTTAATTTGGATACGTGTAAAAGAAAAACATAGTTTTTATTAGTCTTCTGAGTGATGTGTATGGGCTTTGGTATATGAGGGGTTTTAAAAAAATACTATTATTTTTATTTTATGTGTGTGAGTGTATTCCCTGCACATATATAAGTGCACCCATGTTGTGCAATGCTCACGGGAGTCAGAAGAGAGCATTAGATCCCCTGGAACTGGAGTTACAGATAGTTATATGGACGCTGGGAACTGAACCCAGGCCCTCTGCAAGAATTGCCAATGCTCTTAACCACCGAACCATCTCTCTAGTACCGTATATGAGTTTTTAAGTTTCAGATACTCAGAGCCTTATAAAATACTTGCTTCTGGAAAGTGTATGAAAATATTTAGGTATTTGGAGGTGGAATATAGAATTTTTAAAACTAAGTAAGGTGTTTGTGTCTGTTTTGAAGCCCTTCTCTGGCTGTCACATCTCTTGCTAGGAATCCTTTTGTTATGGGGTGGCATGAGGACCTGATGCTGGTAACACATTCGGCAGATGCTGACACATCCCACCTTTCCTTGTTATTTACTTTCCCTTTCTTGTTTTTGGACTTTGCATGCCCTGCTTTATTCTTCCTTTGAATTCTCCCCTTTTATATAATTTCCTGTAATGTTCTAGACTTTGATAAGCCTTCCTAGCAGCATTAAAACCTAAAAAGTTGATGGCCTCTGAAAAGTTTGGCATTAGTTAAGTATTAAAAATAATTCCCATTTTTTTTTTTTAAATCTTGTTTACTTCACATCTACAGTATTGTTTCTCAGGGTATTTTACCAGCTCTAACCTCAGCAATTATAATTCACCATTAAATTTCTCCTTTTTCTCCACCCTCATTTCCTTTGGATTTTCACTTCCTTTCTTTGTTTACTGGGCTCATGCTCAGAGTTGCCTACATTCATGTGGAATAAATGATTCATGTCCATAACTCTTGGCTCATAGGAGATAAAGATTTTATGCAGTAATGTTATTGCATTTCATTGGTCCCTTAGAAGGAGCTCTGTGCAGCCCTCCAGGCATGCTGCTTCCAGGTTAAGTATACACCTGAATAATTTCTGGGAGTCCTAATTTATAGCTTGAATGCTTAACCAGTCTTTCTCAACCTACGTTGTTGACTAAATACTTTCTTTTGTAGGCAGAACTCTTGAATTCAGAAAGGGTCATACTTGGATGGTCTGATAATGGCTAGAGGTGTTTTTACATTCTACCAGCGATTGACAGAACTTGGCAGGGATGTGAATATATGAATTTATTGTATTGATTCAAGGCTGAAATTGTGCATTAAGAATATACTCTTCTGCCTGTGTATTGTAAATTCACTTTTAGCTACATGTACTCCCACCCTGACACATCTATTCTGAATGTAACCTTTTGCCTACATGCATGGTCAGAATGAAAGGAGCAGAACCTTGAAGTTGATGGGTTATTTCAATCCTGCCAGCAACAGCTTTTGTGGTTCACTAATGGCAGTAGTTGCAGAATTTTGATCGGAAGGGCGGCAGTTGGGCGCCTCAGTGATAGATGGACTTGCTGCTACTCAAAATGTTCTTCAGGCAAAGGAAGTGCATAGCCTGTGTCATGTGCAATGCATCATGCCATCGATTGAATGACAGAGGCTTGTTAGAAGTCATCTCTGCCTCTCACTATTTATGTCTTCAGTCCCTATTGACCAGCTTTTATTTTTCTCCTTTTGGGTGGTTTATTACAACTAAGCTTGATTTCAGGATAACCAAACTTCATATTCTTCACTTTGCATTCTTTTAGCAGTGTAGGCAGCATTATACATTACAGTTGAGTGATTGTGTGTCTTCTGTATGTTTCTTAGATCATCAGCAGTATGTAAGGCATGGGGGAAGAAGAAATAGCATTAGATAGATAGAAGATAGATAGATAGATAGATAGATAGATAGATAGATAGATAGATAGATAGATAGATAGATGATAGATAGACCATAGATAGAGGATAGATAGATAGATGATAGATAGATAGATAGATAGATAGATAGATAGATACATAGATAGATAGATAGATAGATAGATAGATAGATAGATAGATAGATAGATAGAAAGGGAGAGCTTAAGACCTTATGTTACAGCCTTGCTTATCCACAAATTAGTTGGGTAACTTTTGGAAATTCATAAAATCTCTCTGGGACAGTGTTTCCTTATATTTGAAATGAAGAGGCTGGACAAAATAACATCTAAGTCTTTCCAGATTTAAATTTTTTGTGGTTCTGTGCATAATAAAACATTCAACTAGCCAGATGTGATGATGCATGCCTATAGTCATAGTACTCAGGAGGCTGAGACAAAAGAATTGAGAATAAAAGCCAGCCTGCAAGACCTTCTTTTTTTTTTTTTTTCGGTCTTTTTGAGACAGGGTCTCCCTGTAGCCCTAGCTGGCCTGGAACTCACACTCACTATGTAGACCAGCCTGACCTTAAGCTCACAAAGGTCTGCCTCTCAAGTGCTGGGATTAAATGCATGTGCCCATACCTGGCTCAGCAAGACCTTCTTAAATAAGCAAAACTATACAACTGATCTTTGAACTATCTTATATTTGGAGGATTATTGGGAGACTTTTAACAGTATTCTTTTGGTACTCTTTACTAGTGTATCAGTCTATTTTCTGTTAGCCAGGGTTCTCTAGAGGAACAGAACTGATAGTGATGAACAGTAGCTGACTCACACCTGAGAGCCCAGAACCTGGTAGTTGCTCAGTCCTTGAAGCTGGGTGTCTCAGCAGTCAGGGTACTCCCTCAGTGGAGAGGCCAGGAACCTGATTATTGCTCAGCCCTTGGGGCTGGAGGCCTTGCAGTCCCAGTTGAAAACCTAGAAGGTTCCTAGAGGATTTGTGGAAAGCCACTGGTTCTCAGTCAGCAATGAAAACCTGGAAACACTGATTCTGCTACCAGTGATGGGGACAACAGCAGCAGGAAAAATTAACTGAGATGAGAGGGAAGGCCAAACCAGCAAAGGGACAAGCAAAGGGAGAATATGCTTCCTCTGCCACGCCCTTTTCTATCTGGGCTGTGACCTGAAGGTGCCATCCACATTTGAGATAGGTCTTTATGCATCAATTAAGGAAATTCCTCAACTGAGGCTCCCTACTCCTGGTGATGCTAATTTGACATTAAAACCAGTTATCACATATTCTTAGAATTTTTTTCATGTACAAATGTACTGAAAAGAGTTTTTCTTTTTCTTCTAGGACAATGGCTTTGTGCACATTCATACCCCAGTAATCACATCCAATGACTGTGAGGGAGCCGGAGAGCTCTTTCAAGTGGAGGTAAGTGATATTCTCTCTCCTACAGACATACTGCTTTCAGTGTTTTTTTTTTTTAATTTTTTTTTAAGGACTTGCTTTAAATTTAGTAATAGTTTTGTGGACTGGAGACAATGGCTAGCACCTGAAATAGTCAGTAGTAATCCTTGAGAAACATTCACAGTGCTCTGAGCTTTTGCCCCTCCAATCACGTTCCTTACACCATGACTAGAAGGGATAAATTTTTTTTTCAGTTTATTATTTACTTAATAACCACATACTTAGAAGAAGCATTTCATTACAACAGCATTGACATATTCAATAACAATTTTCTGAGTTAAGATGCATCTTTTTCAAAATTGGCTGTAAATTTTTAGGTTTACAGTTGAATCACTACAGTCATACAACATTGT